CCTACACGAGCTTGGGGTGCCTCAGGTAGGTGCTAGGGTGCCCGGGGACCAGCAGGGCTGAGGATACCCGGGGTGGTCACAGTGGAGCATCCTGTGCATGTGTCTGTCCTTGACCCAAATCCTTGACCCTCCATCTCTGGGCCGGGCCCAGCTGGGGCTGTGGAAAAGCTCTCCTAGCAGCTTTTTTCGGTGGGGACCTTAACTGCTAAGCCTGTGCCCTCCGAGCAGCCAGCCTGCCTCTTTGATGGTGGGGCAGGATGTGCTTTTCCCCTCTAAGAGCTCTCCCGCCTGCAGGCTCCCAACCGCGAGGGCTGGGACTGGATCCAAATTCTCCTGACCCCAGAGAGGCAGTGGTGGAGACAGCGACATGGACTGACCCTGCAGAGGTGGGCTTGGAGGTCTCCTGCGGCCGGGCAGTCCCTGTCACCCCACGTCGGTCCCCTAGGCTGGGGCAGTGATGGAGCCAGGGGGTTACAATGCCGTGCTGCTCTGCTTACAGGTCCCCACGGAGCTGGGCGCTGCGGCAGCCCCGGTCTCCACCGCAGTGCTGAGGGCCCGGAGCGAGGCCGTGGTATGTGGCATCTGCATGGACCGAGTATACGAGAAGCCGCTGCCGGAGGAGCGGCTTTTTGGGATCCTCCCGAACTGCCGCCAATCCGCAAGTGCGTCACAGCCGGGACTTCCAGAGTGCGGTCATCAAGTGAGTGGGGATGGGGACATGGCAGGGTGGTCACCATCACCCTTTTTGCACCCTGAAATCCTTCCTTGGGTCTGGCGGTGTGGCTTTGGGACTGGAGCGACTTTCCTTCGGGAACAGGCGCTTGGGAGCTGTGATGGGGACGGGGATGCTGGATGAGGCCGTGGCGGTGGGACCACCCAGCATGGGTGCTGAGGCCGTCCTCCCTGCTTCCTTTTCGGGAGACCCACCTGCACCCATTACCTTCACCCAGGGCCTGCCCGGAGTGCAGGGTCACCTCCAGTTACTACATCCCCCACAAATACTGGGTCTCGGACGTGGGTGAGAAGGAGAAGCTCATCGAAACCTTCAAGGCGCGGACGGGGTGAGTGCGTGGCGCTGCAGGGCTGCAGGCTCTGTGCTGCTCCGGGAGCTGCGCTCTCAACTGTGCTTTGAATCCCACAGGAAAATCAGGTGCAAGTTCTTTGCCCGGAACCGCGGCCGCTGCCCGTTCAAGTCGGACTGCATCTACCTGCACGAGCTGCCCGCCGGCCGGGGGGGCGGGGG